AGAAATACTGTTTACTCACAAGCATAAAGGAATTACATATATTAGAAACCAACAGTTTCTCATTACTTTATTCTCCACATCGCCAGACTGGGCCACAGCAACGCGTGGCAGGGGACAGCTAGTGAATAAATAAATAATTGACACAAGAAAGAGTTAGCATGGCAAAGAGGTATAGCAGCCTGCAGATACAACTCCCTCACTCCCCAGTTTGGCAACACAAAATGCTTCAAAGGAGCTTAACGACTAAATAGGCAATCATCAAGAGCAAACAAGTGCAGCGTAGCAAGGGGGGAGACTACCAGAGGGAGGATACCCCCCCCCCATTCCTGACTGCAAATAAAGAAAGCTATGTGAAAGCAAAATATATCCCTTTTGGAGTATACTATTCCCCACAATGGCAGGGCCAGATGCATCCAGGAAGCCCACAGGTAGCCCAAGGCTGACAAGCAAAACACCTCCTTGGCAACTGGTGTTAAGTAGCAAGCAGCCCTTGGAGCTATTAATATCTCCACCCTCTGGAAATTGGTCTCATCCTATTGCAAAGCCATACAGACTAGCAGCCTCCACCACCATCTCTTGTGATGGCACATTCCATAAATTGACTAGGTAAGACAGTGGTTCTCAACCTTCCTAATGCCGCGACCCCTTAATACAGTTCCTCATGTTGTGGTGACCCCCAATCATAACATTATTTTCGTTGCTACTTCATAACTGTCATTTAGCTCCTGTTATGAATCATCATGTAAATATCCGATATGCAGGATGTATTTTCATTCACTGGACTAAATCTGGCACAAATACCCAATACGCCCAATTTGAATACTGGTGGGGTTTAAGGGGATTGATATTGTCATTTCGGAGTTGTAGTTGTTGGGATTTATAGTTCATCTACAATCAAAGAGGATTCCGAACTCCACCAATGATGGAGATGAACCAAATTTGGCACACAGAATTCCCATGACCAATGAAAATTACTGGAAAAAACAGATGAGCTTTGACCTTGAGTTGTAGTTCACCTACATCCAGAGAGCACTGTGGACGCAGATAATGATGAATCTGGGCCAAACTTGGCACAAATACTCCATATGCCCAAAGGTGAACACTGGTAGAGTTGGGGGGAAATAGACCTTGACATTTGGGAGTTGTAGTTACTGGGATTTATAGTTCACCTACAATCGAAGAGCATTCTGAACCCCACCAATCAAAAATTGGGCCAAACGTCCCACACGAACCCCATGACCAACAGAAAATACTGTGTTTTCTGGTGGTCTTTGGCGACCCCTCTAACATCCCCTCGTGACCCACTCAGGGGTCCCGACCCCGAGGTTGAGAAACGCTGCTCTATCATATCTGCGGCTGGATGGCCATCTGTCGGGACGGATCGAATTGTGTCGCCCAGCCTGGCAGGAAGGGGTTGGTCTGGATAGCCTTTGGGGTTCCCTTCCAACTTGAGTGGGGTACAGACAGCCTTCTCTAGAGGCTTTTCCAGCAGAGGCTGAGTGGCCACCTGTCGGGAGGGCTTGGCTAGTGCGCGCCTTCATGGCAGCCTCGAGAGAACGAGCGGAAGTTCCCTTCAGGGGCGGGATCTCAGTGGAATGCCACTCTCCCCCGGAGAGGCGTGGCCGGAAGTGGTGCCCTCCCGACGTGCGCTGCGCTGGGCGGAAGCGGAAGCGCGGCTGCTCGTACGACGAGGGAAGGGGCGACTCGATCGGGGCGCCATGGAGGCCGGGCACCGGAGGGCGCTGTTGATGCCGCGGATGCTGCTTCTCCTCTTCCCGGGAGCCGGTGAGGGAACCCCGTGACTTATTTTTCCTGTGCCCCCCATTCAGCACCCCCCCCTCTTTATCTTAGAGGCCTTTCGCCCTCTTTTTGAGTGAAGAGACCATTCAGATCCAGTTACGAGAGGGCTGCTCGAGACTGGCATAAGCTTCATTCTCTGGATATTTTCAAGCAGAGGCTGGATGGCCATCTGTCGGGAGGGTTTGGGTTGTGCCTTCCTTTATGACTGGGTGGCCCTTGAAGTCTCTTCCAAATTGATCTATCTCTTACATGCATTTCACTTAATCATATCCATCTATCTGTCATATCTCTGGCTGAATGGTCATCTTTTGGAAGGCCTAGGGATGTTGTTTTCCTGCCTGGCATAAAGGGGCTGGACTGGATGGCCCTTTGGGGTCCTTTCTAACTCTAGTGGAATACACTATGTAACACAGTTTTTGTTCCTGCATTCTAAATGTCATTTCCTAATTGGTTCTATCATAAAAACATGAGAAAAGTTTGTTAAACTGTCAAAACTTTGTTTATTGTGGGAGGCACATTCTGCTAGAGCACATTGCAAATTTTTTAATTGCCTTGAACAGGCAGGATTACGTTTAATAAATGTGTGTTATGGTGACAATATTGTATGCAATATTGTTTTGTTAATCTTATGGTTATGTTGTTTTACTTTGTATGTTTTGTTATGTTACCTGGCAACTGCTCTGAGTCCCTTCGGGGAGATAGAGTGGTATATAAATAAAGTTTTATTATTACTATTATTTAATTATTATTTTACTCCATTTTTTTTCAACGAATATCTCTTCATTGAGTCTCAACCAATTAAACATAGTTTGTGGCAGCCATGAAAACCAAGTTTCTGGAGTAGAACAACTCCTTTCAAAGTAAGGACTGCACATTTAAACAGGAAATAACACTTTCAACCAGGAACAGGACATTTTCTCAAATTTTGTTACATATTCATATAGACCCGGGGTGCAGTGGAGCCTCCTTCCATCTCTGGAGGTTTTCAAGCAGAGGCTGGATGGCCATCTGTCTGTGGGGGTTAGATGGCACCTTCTTTTATGGCAGGCAGGATTATTGTTAGAGTCTATTGTTTGTGAAGTGTCTGCAAAAGATTTAGAGCAGGCATGGGCAGACTTTGGCCCTCCAGATGTTTTGGACTTGGAAGTTCAAGAGCCACCCAAACATAGACATGCCACTGTTTAATATCAGGTCTGTTGAGAAGCAGGTCTCCTTCTGCAGGACTCTTCTCACTGTGTTCCTGCCTCGTCCCTCTCCAGATGCACCGCCTGTGAGCCTCGCTGAGCGCCACTGAGCGCTGCTGAGCCATGGGGGAGCACAGCCCAGAGAATGTCATCTACTATGTGGTGGAGGAGGATGAAGAGGAGGACGAGGAGGAAGAGGACGCGTTGCTGAGGCTGGTGGGCCAGAATGGCCTGGCGCCGTCCTCTCCCCGGATGGTCTATGACCGCACCACCGTCCTCATTGAGCAGGACCGGGCCCCACTGGAGGGCGAGGAGGAGGAGGAAGAAGAGGAGGAGGAGGGGCCCGGCCCAGAGACCCTGCCTTTCCTGCCGGAGGGCCACGAAGACCGCTTCCAGGCTCTGATGGCCAGCCATGAGGGCGTCTCCCAGGGTTACGTGCAGCACATTATTTCCCCAGACCAGATCCACCTGACCATCCACCCTGGCTCCACTCCCATGCCACGCAACATCGAAGGGGCCACCCTCACACTGCAATCTGAGTGCCCCGAGACCAAGGTGAAGGAGGTGAGTGGCAGGTTCCATGCCCCAGAAGGGCACCCGCTGCCTTGGGCCACAGAGGCCTTGGCGCACCCTGTCTAGTTAGAAAAGTCTCACTGCTATCTCTCAGCTTGGATTCCGTGTTTGTGTCAGGCCCAGAGTTTCTTTGGATGGAAAGCATTGGTCGGCTGATTCATACCCCTGTTAAACTACTACCCGCTTCCTGTGGCACCCGCCTACTTGCAAGCCAGGCCTTGCCTGTTTTTCCTGTTCTGAAAAGTGGCAGTGCAGAACTAGCTTTCTGTTTTGAATGTTTCTCCTGCTTTATTGGCCAGGCTTTGCTGCTGTTACCAGAGTTTCCTCATTGAAGAGCAGCTCTTTAGCAGCAGGAGATCTAGCTGGTGCTCATCACCCTTCTGCTGTTCACTAATCAGAGCATTCTGAGAGGTTGCCCAGAGGGGCCAGTTCAAGAGTGAATCCCTAAGGAAGGCCCTTGCAGGAGACCAGGTTTCAGGGTGAGGCTTTGGAACCTACAGAGCTGTCTGCTGAAGTTTTGGGTTTCTGCATAAGGCCTCTTCTCTCCCTGAGGACAGTTGACTCTAATCTCACCCTGGCAGCCATCTAAAGAGCATCAGTGCCGGGTGTGTGGGGAGATGGCACCCAGGACACCCACAAAGTTGTATGTTGGTTCTCACTCAGCCTGTTCTCCCAGTCAGAGAGGCAGGCCGTGTGCTCAGGAATGCATGGGAGAGATGTGCCACTGGTGGCTCCCTTTCTCTATTGGATCTTGTTTGTTGTTCCCTGGTGGATATAAGAGCTTTGTGCCGGCAGGTTTGCTGTTGATGGCACCAGCCAAAGTTGGATGTCTTGCGAGGGCAGCTGAAACATCTCCCCCACAAGAGCTGTCTCCTCTTCCTGCCATCCCCTATGGCACCTGCCCCACCTGACTGTGTTGTGTGGGAGACGTGGCATTATGTGTCTTTGTGTGTCTGCAGGTGAAACGCTATCAGTGCACCTTTGAGGGCTGCCCTCGCACTTACAGTACTGCGGGCAACCTCCGCACCCACCAGAAGACACACCGGGGTGAGTACACCTTTGTGTGCAACCAGGAAGGCTGCGGGAAGGCCTTTCTCACATCCTACAGCCTCAAAATCCACGTCCGAGTTCACACCAAGGAGAAGCCCTTTGAGTGCGACGTTCAGGGCTGCGAAAAGGCCTTCAATACACTGTACAGGTACGAACAGCCCTGAGGGCAAGAGCTGGCACTTTCCCTTCAGGGATTCCTCCTTCAGGTTGTGGCTGCATTTTCTTAGCTGATCCCCATTAGCGTTTGAAAGAAGAACCCTCTTAGTGAGTTATTTTTCTTTCTGCTTCCCTGTCTGGCATTTCTCTTGGTGCCAAGTGGAGGCTGGCCTTTTGGGTGTCTGCTGGCCATGGCACTCCTTTGTATTGTCAATCTTGCTGCAGAACAGACCCATATAAATGGAGGCCCCGCTGTTTCCATCCCCTCCCCCCTACTTCTCATGTAGGTTAAAAGCCCACCAGAGGCTCCACACGGGGAAGACGTTTAACTGTGAATCTGAGGGTTGCAGCAAGTACTTCACCACACTGAGTGATCTGCGGAAACACATTCGGACTCACACTGGAGAGAAGCCATTCAGGTGACTCTCCAAGCAGGGGGCGGAAGTGGGTGGGGGGAGGAGAGCCTTGGGTTACTTCCAATATGTGCTGTGACATCCCCTTGATCTCAGACATTTCTAAGGTTTGAACCGCAGCTTTTTTTGAGCTCCATGATTCTCTATAGATTCCCAGGCAAGGCCACATTCTGGCTGACAGAACACCTTCTTATCCTGGCTCTCCAGAGTGTTCCCTTCTGGAGTGATCTTGCAAATCAGAATCTCCGGGGCCCCGTAGAATTTATGTTGCATGTAGTTAAAAAACCATAGCTGTAGCTTTTGCAACTTGCTCAGGAGGAAGGCTTCAAGTACAGGGTGAGGCAGCATAACTTCCTTTTTTCAAAACTTAATAAAACCCATTGTATGAATCAGATATTTTTTTTAATAATGTAGGCGCATACCTAAAGTTTTGTTTTACGTAGTTTTGAAGATCAAATTAGGTAGGTGACGTCCCCCATTCTCCATACACTGAGTAAACTGATTTCTGGCGTTTGTCATGACTCTTGCCAGCATAGCAGGCATTATGTTGGTAATTTCTTCCTGGATGTTGGTCTTCAAATCTTGTAGGGTCCTTGGACGGTTCACATAAACCCGGGATCCCATAGAAAAAAATCACAAGGGGCCAAATCTGGAGAGCGGGCTGGCTACTCCGAATCCGCTCGAAAAGTAGGCCTCAATGGCAAAAGCATGCTCCTCACTGTTCCAACGCATGATGGCGACTGAACTGTGTCAGGACAAAACTTTATACTCCCGCCTCTCGAATGAGACCACTAGCGCTCCGCTACGTCTTCAACCGACTTTTTTCTTTTGTCGTGTCAGGAGCGACTTGAGAAACTGCAAGTCGCTTCTGGTGTGAGAGAATTGGCCGTCTGCAAGGACGTTGCCCAGGGGACGCCCGGATGATTTGATGTTTTATCATCCTTGTGGGAGGCTTCTCTCATGTCCCCGTATGAGGAGCTGGAGCTGATAGAGGGAGCTCATCCACCTCTCCCCAGATTCGAACCTGCGACCTGTCGGTCTTCTGTCCTGCCAGCACAGGGGTTTAACCCACTGCGCCACCGGGGGCTCCTGGTGACTTCAACCGACTGAGTGGCGCGCATTTTAAAAAAGGAAGTTATGCTGCCTCACCCTGTATTTAGCCGCAGTGTGGGAGGAAGTTGCTCCTGCAAAACTTTCCTACACTAATGACCCAGAGTGGTAAAAGAGCCCCGTTCAGTCTAGAAGCTGAGACCCCAGTTGGCTTCCTCCCTCATTCCCTTCCTCCCTCCATACTGGTTTCTTTGGTGACAGCCAATGGTCTGGGTCCATTCCTCTTCTGAGGAGGCTTCTTCTGCCCTGAAATGGAATTAAAGCTGGCCTCCTGCTGTAGCAGCAGGAGGCAGAAACTATTAATTCTGCAGGGAACCTCAGGTTGTGCTCTCCTCCCTTTTGCTAAAGGTGTGACCACGATGGCTGCGGAAAAGCTTTTGCTGCAAGCCACCACCTGAAGACACATGTCAGGACACACACTGGTAAGCTGTGGGGTAGAGTGACTCATTGGCCTTAATGGTGTGTCCCAAATAATGCTGTCCTCTGAGTGCTGATATCCTCTGGCAGGGGCATTTCCTGATCCCTGCATGAGTTGCATCTGGGAGGGTAAATTGCTTAAATCACAGAAAGCTCAATCTAGGGATGTGTGGTTCTGGTTTTGATAGTTTGTTTTTGGGGGGATGTGGTGTTTTTATGTTGCATACTGCTTTTAACTGTGGGGTTATAGCTTAACTGTAAGAGGGATCGAGAAGGTTTATAGAAGAGCCTCTTCAAGAGATGTGCTGCTGGTGGTGGCAATGATGAGCAGCAGCGAACCTAACACTTTGAGGCTGATACTTCCTCACTGTGGATGCTTCCCTCTTCTTCCTCCTCCTTGCTCCAGGCGAGAGACCCTTCTTCTGCCCCAGCAATGGCTGTGAGAAAACTTTCAGCACACAGTACAGCCTCAAGAGCCACATGAAGGGACACGAGAAAGGGCCCTCCTACACCTTGCTTTCCAACACCAACCTCTCGGAGGTGTGTACTTCTACTTTTCCCTTTGAAAGTCACACACTTTTGCTGTGCCATCTTTAGTCCGGAGGCCTCTATTCTGGGGGTGCCTTTCAGAGCAAGAAATCGCCAAGACTTTTGGAGAACTCCTCCTGTTTTGATATGCTGCAACTGATATTGTGCTGTTGAGAATGGGTTTCCAGGGGCACTCCTTAACATTGTGACTAGCTAACTGTTAGGGAAAACTATCCTAAAATGAAGCAGAGCATCCAAAAACAAACAGGATCCAAAAGTTGAGCATCAGCTGACTAGCGAGGAGAGTGTGAAGTGCCGTGTGATGTGACTATAAAGAATTCAGAGCTTAGGAGGCAAACATGCAGAATCCAATCTTTTAAAAAATCACAAAAGGTTTATTTACAATAATAAGTATTGTATATACTCGAGTATAACCCAAATTTTTCAGCCCTTTTTTAGGTTGAAAAGGTCCCCCTCAGCTTATACTCGAGTCAAGGTTATTTATTATTTTACTCTGTTATTATTATTTTTATTACATTTATTATTTTACTCTTATTATTATTACTATTATTACATTGATTATTTTATTATTATTACATTTATCATTTTACTCTATTATTATTACATTTATTATTTTACTCTATTATTGTTATTAAATTTATTAATTTACTCTATTATCATTGGAAGGATACATAGGTACATTTACACTGAAGAAGGTTAGAATAATAATTTAATCAGAGTTGGAAAGTCTTATTTTAAATTAGTTTTATGTAAATATTCAAAAACATTTAACCTACTGATACCTCAGTTAATGTAATTGTACTGGTATCTATTTTTATTTTCAAATTTACCAGTAGTTGCTGCATTTCCCATCCTCGGCTACTACTGGAGTCAATTCGTTTTCCCAGTTTTTTTGTGGTAAAATTAGGTGTCTCGGCTTATATTTGGGCCAGCTTATACTCAAGTATATACAGTAACTGCATTTCTTAATAATCAAGAACTGGCTCTGAGCTACTCTAACACCCATCTCTTCTACGGTTTCAAAGAGAGAGGAAAAACACCAATCACTGCATCTCTCCTGACACACAAGCAGAGAGCAATCTCAAAGCACACAGCACATACTCTCCATACTAAAGTGAAAGAAGGCAGAAGGCAGATTCAAAAAGGCTTGCAGTAGAAAGGTATCCATTCTAAATAATCAGAATGAGAGTAGAAAGAGAGATAAAAAAGATACATTCCCAGCTGTCATTCAGGAGACATCAGGAAGGGGAACCTTCAGACTATTTTAAACTAAGTATTCCTCATTGAGGACTTGAGACTTGGACAGTGTGGGGTCGAATCCCAACAATAACTTGATCTGAACATCACAGACATCATACATAGAAGTGCCATTTGCAGTAATGTGTTGAGCTCCTATGCTGGAATTCCTGAAAAATGAAAGTTTTGCACAATCAGAGAGGGGCCTTGGATTGCAGGCAGGCCCTTCAGTTAGTTGTATTGTGGAGAAAAGAGCCCAAGTAGGCCTGGGTTCCAGAGAAAGAGTTGCCAGAGACAGTCCAAGGGGAGGGAGTCCTGAGTAAGGAGGGCAGGATGCTGGCTGTGGGGTTGCTGGCCCTGGAGGCCAAATGTTCTTCTTAATACCAGCCTTCTCTCTTCTGCCCAGGACACAAACCACTCTCTCTGCCTGAGTGACCTGAGCCTCATGTCCACAGATTCAGAACTGCGGGATAATTTGAATGCAGTGAGTATCTCACCCATGTGGCGGTGATGGTGGCATTGTAGGCTGTGCCTGCCTTTTTATTATATTTGCTGGTGAGCCTGCGATGCCCTTAAGAGCAGGCGGTCTTCCTGTGCCTCTCTAGGGCTGGGGGCATCAAGAGGAAGCACTGCCAAGGGATGCCCATTTCAGGGCTTTGGTGTTTTTCTTTCCAGAGAGACTGGTTTTTATTGCTTTGTGGTTTTGTTTTTGTTTTGTTTTTTTGCCTTTTTATTTTCAGAATTATTGTGAATAGTGCTACACAAAATTATACAAACATTCAAAACATTTTCCATTAGTAACACATGTTTTCAGCATTTCCCCTTTCTCCCTCTCTCCCCTCTCTGGGAACAGTTTACAAATTTTGCTGTACTTATTATGATTGTTTGGTCATTGTTTAATTCCCAATATTGATCTTTCCCCTTTATTCTGTAAATTAAGCCTTTCCATTTTGCCTCCCATGATTTTCTGAATTGGCCCGTCCTATAGTAACTTTTCCTTTTGCTAATGTAGTTTTGGAGGAGGTAGTATGCTAAATATTTATGCTATGTTTTTGTGTACCATTTCTGTTGCTCCTTCTAGCCTAAAGTGACTGAGGGTTTAATTGCATCTAACATGTAATTTATTATTCCCTCCAATTTTTAAGATCTCCCTTTGCCTTCAATTTTCTGGAGGAAAAAATGTGTCTTGTTCCAATCTATTTTTATTCCTGATAGTTCCTCCGTTTCCTTCTTAATTACTTTATTGAACTTTAGTATTTTTTCACAATTCCACCACATGTGTATATATGTTCCGGTTTTCCCACAGCTGTGCCAACATTGTTTTGGGGAGTTTTTGTTATGTGAGCTAATTGCACAGGAGTTTTGTACCATTTTGTCTGGCCTTGAGTGTGTGGTTGCAGGGCCCTCAAGCTCCAGTGTAAGGCCTGCTGACAGGACGTGCCTCACCTTTCCCTCCCATTGCACCCAGATGCAGGGCCAAGACCTGAGCGCCATCCCACCAGCAAGCATCTTCATGTTCCAGAGCCCAGAGCCGGCTGCCAGCCAGGAGGACTGCCAACCAGCAGGTAGGCAGAATTGGAGCTGTTGGGGCAGGACAGCCATTGAGAGAGGCACCCTTCCCCTTGCAAAGACCCCTTTGGAAGGACAGAGTAGAGTCAGAGAACTGTGAGATGCAGTTGGGCTCTTTTGTACAAGCCCTCCCCCTCCCCGAGCTCTTTCTCACTGCCTCCTTGTTTGATGCAGACTCCTTGATCGAAGATTTTGAAGGCGACACAGAGCTGGACGCTTCTGCAACCCCTGTCGAGACCTCACCCCCATCGCTCTCCCTGCCGCTGGTCCTGCAGCTGGGCATCTCTGAGCCTCCCACTCCGGCGCCTCCTGCTGTCCCTGTAGCTGGTGGCCCTCCGCAAGGGGCCTTTGGCACACCCACCCCCCTCCTCCTGGCCCCTGAAGTGCCTGCCTCTAACAACACCCCATTTGCAGCCAATCCCCAGGACTTCCTGCAGCACATTCAGACACCGTCTGCTCAGCCAGCTGAAGTGGGATTCCCTGTGGCCACAGGGCCTGCCCCACCTGCTCCTGCTCCCACTGTGAGCATCGCTGCTGCTGCTGCTACTGCTGCCACCGAGGTCCAGGCGGTGCCCCTGGGGGGAAGCTCTGTGCTGGCTGGCAGCCCCACCATCACCCTGATGCCCTCCCAGAGCACGGCCCTCCTTCAGTCCAGCATCGTCATGGGGGAACAGAACCTTCAGTGGATCTTGAATGGGGCTACTGGGGTGCCCCAGAGCAAGGAGCAGATGGTGAGTGCTGGGGGAGCCAGGGCTAGCGGGATCCTCAGATGGGGCAGGGGAGAGTGCATGGCCAGTTCTGGGCAGGTCCAGAAAGGTCAGTGGGGCTAGCTGTGTGCTCTCTGCTCCCAGAGGGTGGGGTGGGTTGGTTAGAGCTTTACCTTCCTTACCATGAGTAGAATCATAGAATTGGAAGAGGCCTCGTGGGCCATGCAGTCCAACTCCCTGCTAAGAAGCAGGAAAATCGCATTCAAAGTACCCCTGACAGATGGCCATCCAGCCTCTGTTTAAAAGGCTCCAAAGAAGGAGCCTACACCACACTCGGGGCAGAGAGTTCCACTGCTGAACAGCTCTCAGGAAGTTTTTCCTAACGCTCAGGTGGAATCTCCTTTCCTGTATTTTGAAGCCACTGTTCCATGTCCTAGTCTCTAGGGCGGCAGAAAACAAGCTTGCTCCCTCCTCCCTATGACTTGCCCTCACATATTGATCCATGGCCCTCATCATGTCTCCTCTCAGCCTTCTCTTTTTCAAGCTAAACATGCCCAGCTCTTTAAGCCACTCCTTATAGGGCCTGTTCTCCAGACCCTTGATCAGGGGTCCTCAAACTAAGGCCCAGGGGCCAGATACGGCCCTCCAAGGTCATTTACCCGGCCCTCGCTCAGAGTCAACCTAAGTCTGAAACACCTTGAAAGCACACAACAACAACAACAACAATAACAACAACAACAACCCTACCTCATCAGCCAAAAGCAGACCCACGCTTTCCATTGAAATACTAATAAGTTTATATTTGTTAAAATTGTTCATTTTAATTATTGTATTGTTTTTAAGTGTTTTTTGCACTACAAATAAGATGTGTGCAGTGTGCATAGGAATTCATTTATTTATTTTTTCAAATTATAATCCGGCCCTCCAACAGTTAGAGGGACTGTGTCCTGGCCCTCTGTTTAAAAAGTTTGAGGACTCCTGCCCTTGATCATTCTAGTTGCCTTCCTCTGGACACATTCTGATTCCATGTGTGGTCTGACCAAGGCAGAATAGAGGGGCAGCATGACTTCCCTTAATGTAGTCACTAGATTCCTATTTATGGGGGCCAAATTCCCATTGGCTTTTTTTTTGTTTTTTGTTTTTTTTTTTTTTGCTGCTGCTGCTGCTGCTGCATGACATTGTTTGCTTGTGTTTAACTTGTTGTCCACGAGAGATACCAATGGCTTGTTCTCTTCCCAAAGCCCCAGGCTCCGGTGCTGGAGAAGGTCTTCTTTACAGCTGCCCTTCCCGTTTCTGGCAATGGAGGTAAGGAAGCACCCATTGAGGAGGAAGAGGTTGTCACTCTCTGCCTGCTGGCTCACTTAGTATTGGGAGCCCCTTGCTACTCCAACCACTGCTGCCACCCCTTGGGTCATTGTGGGGCCCAGGACTCCCTCCCTCCCTGTTGCATCCAATATGGGAAGGCATGCAGACCTGGTGGGAGCCCCTGCCCCAGTTTTGCTAGAGGGGCACCCAGCCCTTCTGGTCCTTTGCCTGATCCCAAGCTTTGTTTGCCTGCTTCCTGCCCCCCAAGTGACCGTGTGCCTCTGTGTCTGCAGGGAGCTCCGTACAGCAGATCGGCCTGAGTCTCCCTGTGATCATCATCAAGCAGGAGGAGGCCTGCCAGTGCCAGTGCGCCTGCCGCGACTCCACCAAGGACAAAGCCGCCACCGCTGCTGCTGCTGCCAGCAGCACCAGTGACAACAGCAGCAAGAGTTGCCCCCCATCCTCCTCCTCCTCCACTCTGGGAGGGCCACCTGCTGCCTTCCCTGCTCCCCTGGCCACCAGCGCCCCCTCTGCTGGATCGCTTCCCCCGACAGCTGCGTTTGAGACAAGCGCTCTGGTGGGAGGGAACCCCTTGGACTCCCCCCAGAACCAGTCCTTAAGTGCCATGGATGTCTCCGACTTCCTCTCCCTCCAGAGTCCCTCCGAGAGCCCCTCTGCCCTGATCCCCCTCGAGGCCCTGCTGCAAGGGGTGGAGGAGGAGGGGGATGGGGCACTGGAACCCAGAAGTGGCTTCCCCAAGTGAGGAGGCCCTTCCAGACTCAGGAAGGCGCAAGGAGCAGGTTGAGAGAGATGCCTGGATCTTTCCCAGACGGAGAAGGAGGAAAAGGCCGAGGCCAAGGGGAAAGAGCCCCACCTGGACTCTTCGGTCACTTTGGCCCTTTACAGTGCCACTGGGCATAGAACCGGTCACTTTGAGAGGGGGATGTTGTGGGATGACTTCCCTTGAGTTGCACCTTGTTGCCACAGAAGAGGTGCTGGTTTTGGGGAGGACGTGCAGCTCCCAAGGATCTCTTTGCAGTCTCTGAGTGTGCGCTAGAAAAGGGCGAAGGGGAACGGCATATGGGGGCCCTCATGGGAGGGGCATCTGCACTTTGTAGGGCGGTTGCATTGGTGTTGGTGGTGTCCCGGCTTCAGCGGCAGGGAGAAGGGCAGCAGTAGCCTCATGGGTCTCTCTCTTTCCAGGGCTCCTCACTCCACTGGGTTGCTCTCAGGAGGCTGGCAGGCTAGCCTGGTGCCTCCTCTTTTTTGCACATAGGCCCATGGTCTGGTTCCATGTCACTGCTGGGTGTCCTCCGCTTGGTAGGTCTCCGGCCGAAAGGCAGCACCCTGCTGCCTCTCCAGAGCAGCCACCTGGGTGTTTACATGAGTAGCCCAGGACCTTAGAGAGTTTGCACTGCCACAGTTTTGTCAGAACTGCTCACCTGGTGCAGTGGACAGTGGCACAGAAGGGAGGCTCCCATACAAGCTTGGCAGGCATTTGCTCTCGGCTGGTGGAAGTCCCTATGACATGTTAGTCTTGGTCAAGGGGAGCTGGTCTTGCCATGGGGAACAATTTGGCTAGCGAAGGTGTGGCAGTGTCCTTGGGCCTGTGATGTCCTTGCGCCATTTCTGAGCGAGTCTCCCCTTTACGCCGTGCAGATGGATGCTCACCAGGCCATCCTATGGCCCTTCCCAAGGCTCCATCTGCTCCTGCTGATTACTGGCCTCTGCGTTCAGGTCGGTGAATTCAATAGTGCATCCATTTTTTATCTTCTAACTTTACTCAGGGTAAACTCCTAACATAGCCTCCCCTTGCCCCACCCAGAAGCCTGTAAGGTCTTGAGAAGTCTCCTTTAAAAAAATGCTTTATTTATCTGCCATTTTCTTAGTTGTTGTTTGAAGAAGTTTGATCCCATTGCTCCTGTTACTCTTTATCTGATTAGGCAGCTTCCTCTTTGCTGTTCTGAGAAAAGAGAGCCTTCCCTGATTGTGGGGTCAGGGTCTCATCAGGCGGCCGCAGCCAGGAAGAGTCCAGCTGGATGGCATGAGGTATTGGCTGGCATAGCGGGGGGCCTTGCTGAGTATGTGTGTGTGTGTGTTGGCTGTCTTGCTGTCCTTTGGCCTGTTCATCTCCCAGGCCTTGGTACTTCCCTTTCTGGTGTGTGCCGATGCTTAGCCCTCCCCAGAGGCTTCCTAGCAGACAGAAGATGATTCCTCTTGTCCTTCTTTTGTGCCCATGAGACAAACATTACCCGAGATCTGCCTTGGTTTGGCATGGATGCCCTGTGTTGGGCCATTAGCCTTGGAGTGGATGCTGAAGGCCTTGCTTGGGGTGGGGTGGATGTAGTGAGGCCCCCTCTCACCTTTTATGTAGAGTTAAGATCCCCCTCCCTGTTCAGGAAGCACTGCTTCTGTCATGTTGAGAAACCAGGACCTGGATAGCTCTGTTGGGCCCAGATTTGAGGAGGAAGATAATACCTGGGGTCTGTTGCATTGGGTGGAAGCTGCTGCTGGAAACTAGCAAAGGGAAGTAGTTCTTTGCTGTTCCTTTGACACTAACTTGCTGGGCTCTGAAATGCACTTTAGTTCTCTTTTTATGCTGATTGCTGCAATTTCCTTTGTAAATAATAACTGTCCAGAGTTCTTAGGGTGGTTTCCCCCATTGCTCTGATAGAAGTTAAGGCAGGTGTGCAAGGAAAGAAGAGAAAAGGAAAAAGAGCACTTAATCTCTGTGCAATATGTGTAGCTAGAAGGGGCACCCTTGTTCACCCATCTCTTTGTGCACCCTGGAATGATTCGGGTGGGAGCCCTGACCTCCGCTGCTGCTCCCCTCTGTTTAATGCATTGTGAAGCAAATGCCCCATCTATGCAAAAAAAACCCCGTGAGGAGCCAACAGGAATGGGTCCAGCCGCTCTTTCCAAGGCAGGAGAGGTCTTAGGCTCAGAAGCGGCTGCAGCTTGACTCTTCAGGGGAGCACAATCAAACCACGGCAGATGCCTGGAAGCAGGGACAGTGATGTGGATATGGTATGAACTGCGGTGTGTAGGTTTGTTTTGAAAGTCAGGGTGTTATTTCTCAACCTTTTCCTTCGAAATCCTATTTCACACTTGTTTTGGTTTCCCTCTTACCTCCCCCTTTGATGTGGGTGACGGCTGTTTTGGGCTTGGGCTCTGGTTCTGCACTGAGAAAAGCCAAGGAAACTGGATATGTATTTGCTCTGTGTGTCTGGGCGTGTTTGTAGGAATGGTGTTTCACCCACAGAGTGTTTTCAGTCATGAGCACGCTGGCCAGAACTGGCTTCTACGCAGTGGCCATTCACTCAAGCAAAGGCCGTTCATACATAGCAGCACATGGGTGTTTTGGCCTTTCGTTCTTCTCAGTGAGGAGTGCGTTGTTCATGAAAGAGGCTCCTCCACTCTCTCTTTTCGGGGGGGTTGATGTGGGGAGATGTCAGGAGGGGCTGCCCTTCACTTCAGCAGTTTTGTGGGGTATGAAGGCTCTGCCATGTCTTGGAGGAGAGATTTCTCAGCCTTTCCTATGTGGAAGCAAAATGGGAAAAGGGCATTTGGTGCTGTGGGTGGGTGCCTCTGATAGAGTGGGACTTTCACTGGTGTTTAAGGCCCCGCAGATTAGATTGAAGGCTGGGCTAGAGAGGGAGAAATGGGCTGGTGGGGGGCCAAATGCCCCTTCCCTCAGACGCCACTTTCTACATGGGACACGTGGCTCCATCCCAGTGTGGGGCAGTGCAGGCTCCCAAAGGTGCTCAGAGACCTTTTGCAAAGTGCCTTTCTGGACCCCCACATCCCATCACTAGGGGAGAGAGGTGTTGCGGGTGGTGCCCCCCACCTGCCCCCCTCCCTCCTTTCTGAAGGGCCAAGAGGAGATGATGAAGAGGCGAAGCAGCCAGTTTCTCTCAGGAGTTGTGTGTGTCGCATTGAAGCGTGTGCTAATTTAACCGAAACATGGGAACAAATGTCCTTGCATTGAGCGAGATATGTGAAGATGTGAGTTACAGGTACCGTACTTCCAAAGGAAGAGCTTCTCCAAACCCCTTAGAGCATAATACACACATGGATTTGTATTTTTTTGAAGAATGTAAAATGTGAAATAACAGTGTTTGCTTAACGGCTCTGTTTTGTATTAAAAGATTAATATTGTACTTTGAAATACACATACCAGGAAGTGGGAATTGATTTTTTTAAAAAAATCAGAAGCAATATTAATACCAATGGGATCTAATTAAATGCTTGTTTAAACTCGGTGCCTTGGGAGGAATCATTTCTAGCAGGGATGGGGAGGGGGGCTGGAAGGGGCTTCCTGGGGCTGGCTATCTGTGAGGCCCCCCATCCAGTCCTTGCCCCGTGAGCCATCCAGCCCTTGCCCCGTGAAACCCTGGGTGGCACCTTGGGCAAAAGACGGGGCAGCCCACCCCTCTTTGGGACAGGGTCTCCTCCTAAGGGGCAGCCCAAGGGGGCAAGGAAGCCCAGCAGGGTAGTCCCTTCAGGCAGGTGGGATGGTGTAGCCTTTTCATGTAGTCTCTCTTGGCTCTCCAGTCGCAGGCAGGGAAAGAAACAGGCTTGGTTCTCATTGCATTAAGTCCCTCTTAGTGTTGACTAAATTACAGGGATGACTCCATTAGGGCCCTTCCACAAAACCCTATATCCCAGAATATCAAGGCAGGAATACCCACAAGATCTGCTTTGAACTGAGTTATGAGTCCACACTCGGGTAATGTGGGATTTTCTGCCTTGATATTCTGGGATATAGGGCTGTGTGGAAGGGCCCTTAGTGTTAAATAAACTAACGGCACAATTTCTCTCTTGGCTTGATCTACACTAATATAAAAAGGTTTCCCCTGACATTAAGTGTAGTCATGTGTGACTCGGCTGGGGGGGGGGGTGTGTGGGTGGGTGTGGTGGTGGTGCTGATCTCCCATTTCTAAGCCGAAGAGCCAGCATTGTTCTTAGACGCCTCCAAGGTGATGTGGCCAACATGACTGCATGGAGCACCATTACCTTCCCACCTGAGTGGTACCTATTGATCTCACATTTGCATGTTTTTGAACTGCTAGGTTAGCAGAAGCAGGGGCTAACAGCAGGAGCTCTCCCCACTCCCCAGTTTGAACTGCCAACCTTTCAGCAAGTTCAACAGCACTCCAAGTGGCCAGATACTGGTCAAAGGACATTTAATAGAATAGCAAGCCAGCACACTGTTTTGTCTGTTTGTTAAAAAATTAATACAATTGTCTGGTTGATACTGACACAATATATCAGGGGTCCTCAAACTTAGGCCCGGGGGCCAGATACGGCCCTCCAAGGTCATCTACCTGGCCCTCACTCAGGATCAACCTAAGGCATTTCAGACTTGAAAGCACACAACAACAACAACAACAACAACCCTTTATCATCAGCCAAAAACAGGCCCACACTTCCCATTGAAATACTAATAAGTTCATAATTGTTAAAATTGTTCATCATTTTAATTTTTGTATTGTTTTAAAGTGTTTTTTGTTATTCATTCGTTCAGTCGTCTCCGACTCTTCGTGACCTCATGGACCAGCCCACGCCAGAGCTCCCTGTCGGCCGTCACCACCCCCAACTCCTTCAAGGTCAGTCCAGTCACTTCAAGGATGCCATCCATCCATCTTGCCCTTGGTCGGCCCCTCTTCCTTTTACCTTCCACTTTCCCCAGCATAATTGTCTTCTCTAGGCTTTGCTGTCTCCTCATGATGTGGCCAAAGTACTTCAACTTTGTCTCTAGTATCCTTCCCTCCAGTGAGCAGTCGGGCTTTATTTCCTGGAGGATGGACTGGTTGGATCTTCTTGCAGTCCAAGGCACTCTCAGAACTTTCCTCAGCACCACAGTTCAAAAGCATCTCTTCCTTCGCTCAGCCTTCCCTAAGGTCCAGCTCTCACATTCGTAGGTGACTACAGGGAATACCATGGCTTTGACTAGGCGGATCTTTGTTGCCAATCTGATGTCTCTACTCTTTACTATTTTATCGAGACTGGACATTGCTCTGCTCCCAAGAAGGAAGCGTCTTCTGATTTCCTGGCCACAGTCTGCATCTGCAGTAATCTTTGCGCCTAGAAATACAAAGTCTGTCACTCCCTCCACATTTTCTCCCTCTATTTTCCTCTGTTTAAAGAGTTTGAGGACCCCTGTGATAAATAAATAAGCCCCGGAGGAAGCTCCTTTGGGGGAGCCCTGGCCAGGCAGAAGCCTCCCCAGCTGAGCCCAGGGCCCGATCTTCCTTTCTTGGCTCCCCAAAAGGGACAGAAACTAAGCAGAGGAATTCGAGGCCCTCTCCCGCGCTCTCTCTGGCCCCGCCCCCACTAAGCCCACACTTCCAGGTGTGGCCCCACTTGGCGGAAGTGACGCCACCCGCTGGCACGGCCGCACTTCCGTGTATACCCGGAGTTGGCGGAAGTGACGCTACCCGAGGCGGAAGCGGCGACCTCATGTGGTGCCGGATGGCGGCGGCGATGAAGATGCTGAGGGTGGCAGGTCTCGAGGAGATGGGGCGCGTGGCCCGCCTCTCTCCGCGGGGGGAAGACGGTGAGTGGGTGGCGGCGGAGGGGAAGGAGGGAAGGGCAGGCCTTGAAAGGGGCTCCTACCCTCTCTTTCTCCTCCCCAGGCGTGGTCGGGGCGGAGGAGGAGGCCTCCTCGTCTGCGGCCTCTTTGGCGGCGTCTGCCCTTCGCGGTGGCGGCCTGGTGGCGCTGCCCACGGACACAGTCTACGGCGTGGCCTGCCTGGCCGAGGACTCCCGGGCGCTGGAGGCCCTCTACCGCCTCAAGGGCCGCGACCCCGGCAAGCCCCTCGCCATCTGCCTCCCGGACCTGAACCTCTTGCGCAGGTGAGTGGAAGGGGCGGGGCCTGAAGGGGCAGCCCAGGCCACCCTGCTTCTTTCCACCTGAAAGTCATCTGGAAAAGGGCCTTGTGTTACAATATATTCTGGCTTTCACAATCACTGGGTTGCTGTGAGTTTTCCAGGCTGCATGGCCATGTTCCAGAAGCATTCTTTCCTGACGTTTGACCCATCATATTGTATCCTCAGAGGTTGTGAGGCCTGGCACAACCTCTGAGGATACAATATGAATGGGTTCCTGAGTTAATACATACAACACAATAGCCCACTTGTACACAGAAAGAAAAATAAAACAGTCCAGCCAATAATGTGACTTGTGAAACTTATTATACAGTTCCAATTCAAAAAAACGTTTGGTACAGTCTCTCAAAAAAGTATAAATGCTTGTTCTGGAACGGCTGTTCCAGGGGCTTCAATTTTGTGTTTTGCACTGAGTGTTTGTTCATAGTCCTAAGTTGCAGGGACTTTGCAGATAGGTGGCTTCCTTTGGCTGCATTCATAGGGCAAGCCACCTGTCAATAATAGTTAGGATCCCTGGTCCCGCCCCTCTCTGGGTTTTTTTTGGAGGGAAGGGGCCATTTTTCAGTCACACACAAGGAAGCCAGCTTATAGGACGCAAATCAGTTTGTCCCGTAGGAAAGGCTTCATTCCTCAAGACCATCCGGGGTCCAAACTGACTAACCAGTTCCAGGGAAACAGAAGGAAAAGGTCCCAAAGGCTCTGGCTGAGAGCTCACAGCCTCTCAGCCTCACAGCACCAGAGGGGAAAACAGCCCTGAAGTTTCCACAGGACAGCATTACAGAACTCCAGCTGCTATATCTTCAAACCTCAGCTGGTAAGGTCTGCTCGATACCCAGACGCACGTGGATTTCGGTAGCAGCACCCACGCCGACTAGGCATAGATAGAAAGCGGCCTGGGAGGGATTATAAAGAGTTCTTCCTTATGCTGAAATAGTACAGTTAAACCAAGTCAGTGCCAGTCTCTTAAAGACTAGAATAGTAAGGGCCTGAAGGGGCAGCCCAGGCCACCCTGCTTCTTTCCACCTGAAAGTCATCTGGAGAAGGGCCTTGTGTTTCAATGTATTCTCGAAGGCCTTCATAGCCGGAATCACTGGGTTGCGGTGAGTTTTCCGGGCTGTATGGCCATGTTCCAGAAGCATTCTCTCCTGACATTGTGCTTGCATCTATGGCAGACATCCTCAGAGGTTGTGAGGCCTGGCACAACCTCTGAGGATACAATATGAATGGGTTCCTGAGTTAATACATACAACACAATAGCCCACTTGTACACAGAAAGAAAAATAAAACAGTCCAGCCAATAATGTGACTTGTGAAACTTATTATACAGTTCCAATTCAAAAAAACGTTTGGTACAGTCTCTCAAAAAAGTATAAATGCTTGTTCTGGAACGGCTGTTCCAGGGGCTTCAATTTTGTGTTTTGCACTGAGTGTTTGTTCATAGTCCTAAGTTGCAGGGACTTTGCAGATAGGTGGCTTCCTTTGGCTGCATTCATAGGGCAAGCCACCTGTCAATAATAGTTAGGATCCCTGGTCCCGCCCCTCTCTGGGTTTTTTGGAGGGAAGGGGCCATTTTTCAGGTCACACACAAGGAAGCCAGCCTATAGGACGCAAATCAGTTTGTCCCGTAGGAAAGGCTTCATTCCTCAAGACCATCCGGGGTCCAAACTGACTAACCAGTTCCAGGGAAACAGAAGGAAAAGGTCCCAAAGGCTCTGGCTGAGAGCTCACAGCCTCTCAGCCTCACAGCACCAGAGGGGAAAACAGCCCTGAAGTTTCCACAGGACAGCATTACAGAACTCCAGCTGCTATATCTTCAAACCTCAGCTGGTAAGGTCTGCTCGATACCCAGACGCACGTGGATTTCAGTAGCAGCACCCACGCCGACTAGGCATAGATAGAAAGCGGCCTGGGAGGGATTATATCGTACAGTTAAACCAAGACAGTGCCAGTCTCTTAAAGACTAGAATAGTAAAGCCTTGAAGTGTTGTTTGAAGATTTGTTCTTTAATAAAGACTTTGTTGTACTTTTAAAGAACTCTAAAGCCCATTACTTCTGGAAGTCTCTAACAATCTCTCTTCAGGCACCCCGGCTTCCCACTGAGTTTAAAGTGTGCGTCCTGTAGAATAAAGACATTGTGTACAGGCCCAGTGGCGAAAGAACAACGCTGTATGTTCTTGCATCGAGTTGAAATCTAAAGTGGGATCTAAATCAAAGAAGCAAACAGTTCCCATACTCGCAATTAGATTCAAACACAGAGTTTCGAGTTTAACTCGAACCAAAACCAGAACTTTTTTTTATTAGGAATGATAGAGGAAGACCTGGAAACCAATAAAGAAAAACTTCTAATCTACCTTATAACCGCAGCCAGAATCTGTTTTGCGAGGTGCTGGAGAACTAGGGAGATACCCACACAAGAACAATGGTTACTCAAAATAGCAGACATTATTAACGTGGACAGATTGACACAGCTGCTAAAGGCGAACCAAAAGATGAAGATTATACAAACAGATTGGTCCCCAGTAAGGAACTATCTAATACAAAAAAAACTATAAATGGATAATAAATATAGAATGACAACCTAGGATAATTAACATTATAATTGGTCTGAAAACAAAAGGGCCAGCCACCTTTTCAACAAACTGAATAAATATAGCCCGAAAAAGTTACAACAAGCCTTGTGTTTCGTCACAGCCCCCACTCCAGGAGAGAGGAAGGGAGGGGTGGGGCCTGAGAAGGAGGAAGGCCCCGCCCCTTCCTCATGGCCCTTTCATGCCCTGCCCCTCTTGGGGGAGGGGCGCTCCTGGGGCTCAACACACGCCTCCCTGCTTTCCATCCAAAAGGCACGCCCCCCTGGGCAGGGTCGTGTTTGCTCAGAGCCATCCTCATGCCAGGAGTCTCTCTTGTATCTCCACAGGTTCTGCAAGGTCCATGTTCCGGAGGGGCTGCTGCAGGACCTTCTCCCGGGCCCTGTGACGCTGGTCCTGGAGCGCTCGGAAGCCCTCAACCCAGACCTCAACCCCTTTACCCCGGTGGGTCCACTTGCCTCTGGCCGAGGATCCGGACAGTACTGAGGACTAGAGCAGGCACTTTCTGGATACACAAAGGGGCTCCCAGGGAAACAAAGGCCCAGGTTCTGTGGGGCCGACGAAGTTGAAAGGCACCCCAGACTCATTAAAGCAGGCATGAGCAAACCTTGGCCCTCCAGGGGTTTTGGACTTCAACTCCCACAATTCCTAACAGGCTGTTTCAAACCATTTCACTGGATTTGTGGAAGTATCAGAGCACCAAAATAGTTTAGTGTTTATATCTTAATTTTTTGTTGTTTTTTTTTATATCTAGTATTCGATGTTAGGTCCTTGCTCTGCACCCTACACACTTTCCCAGCTCTTGCTACTAGCCCTGGAAATGAGCCCCAAGCACCACCCTGACCTTTAGTTAGGGCCTTGTTATGCACTTTACCTATTTCCCTGGCCCTATATCTCCTCATTGGCCCAGTCCTCTTGTGCTTATGCAGCGTTAGAAATAAATAGCTCCAGGTCCTGCCCTGACCATCAGATAGGCCATACTTGTACTTATCCTCTTCCCGGGCCCTAGTCCACCTCGTACTAGTCCAACCCTTTTGTAGTCATGGGGCTCACCTTGGAATCTGGGCTGTTCAATGTAATTAGTACCAAACTGGTTTGTAAGTTTTTAATATGTATGACTGTTATACAGTACTATGTTTATTTTTATGATGATTTGTGTATGATCTTATGTTGGTAACTGCAATGCTTTACTATGTTGGAAACTGCCCCGAGTCCCCTCTGGGAGATAAAGTGGTATACAAATAAAGGTTATTATTTTTTATTTTACTTAAGTGATACTTGATTTGACTGTTCTAATGTAGCACAAATCCTATGTAAAGTCATGTCATGTTTATTTATTATTTATTTACTTACTGCATTTGTATACTGCCTTTCTCAGCCAGAGGCGACTTAAGGCTCAAGGTGATTCACAGTCGGCAGCGATTCGATGTTTTTTGACATTAATATTGAAATTTGAAATATATACAGAAAGTGTATTGTCAAAGACATTCATGGCTGGAATCACTGGGGTGTTGTGTGGTTTCCAAGCTGTATGGCCTTGGAACACGGCCATACAGCCTGGAAACTATACGGAAAGTCTTTACGTCGGGTTATTATTATTATTATTATTATTATTATTATTATTATTATTCTGTTTAAGAAGAAAACTCACTTGCCTTCCTTCTCCCTGTCCTTCTTTCATTTGGCTAATTTGTGGTGGAGTTTGTGATTTTGAGATGGGGAATGGAAAGGCAGGATGTATTGCCTTCCACTAAAGTGATGTTCCTTCCTCTCCTTTTCCACAGCTGGTGGGCGTTCGCATCCCCAACCACTGGTTTGCCCGGGAGCTGGCCAGGATCTGTGCGGCCCCCCTGGCCTTGACCAGCGCCAACCCCAGCCATAGGGGCAGCACCTTGGATGTCACGGTGGGCAGCGCAGGAGCCCCGCACATTGTGGGCAGAGAATGGGGGGGGGGGGGGGGGGGGGAAGGAGGCGGGTGAAACATTCAGGAGGCCAGGATACAGATAGGGGGAGACCTTCCTTGACTTTGGCTATCCACGTGCTCCTGGCCAGGCTCCTTGCTCACTTGGGTACTGAGCTCTTAACAAAATCACTATGTAACAAAATTTGAAACATTTTCTGTTCCTACTTAGTGTTAGAATTCAACGCCACACTGTCCAAGTCTCATGTCCTCAATGAGGAATGGTTTAGTTAGTTTAGAATAGTCTGAGGGTTTCCCTCCCCTCATGTCTCCTGTTCTTCAGTTGGAAATGTACTTCTTCTCTTCTCTCTGTTTCTGCTCACATTCTGATTGGTTGTTTAAAATGGATATTTTTCTACTGCAAGCCTTTTTGAATCTGACTTCTGCCTTCTTTCACTTTGGTATGGAGAGTATGTGCTGTGTGCTTTGAGATCTCTCTCTGCTTTTGTGTCAGGAGAGAGGTAGTGATTGTTTTTCCCTCACTTAGAAGAGATGGGTGTTAGAGTAGCTCAGACCCAGTTTTTACCTATGAAGAAATGTAGTTAGTTCTTATTATTGTAAATAACCCTTTTGTGATTTTTTTAAAGATTGAAATCTGCATGTTTGCCTCCTAAGCTCTGAATTCTTTACAGCCACAGCACACGGCACTTCACGCTCTGCTCACTAATGAGCTTAATGCTCAACTTTTGTATCTTGTTTCATTTTTCATTTTTAGGGTAGTTTTCCCAAACAGAAAGTGGTACTTTCTATTTAATTGTATGGCCCTTACTTTGAAAGTAGTCTACTCCAGAAAATTCGTTTTTGTTGTTGTCACATACTATGTTAAATTGGTTGAGTGTCTTTGAGGTAGTCATTAAAAACAATTGCAAAATGTGCTGCAGGATCCCTCCTGCAAAAACAAAGTTTAATAAACATTTCCCATGTTTTTATGATAGAACCAATTAGGAAATGATATATATATATAACCCAGAAACAAAAACCATGTTACGTCTATATAAATAAAAATGTAATGTTCATTTGTGGAATTAACATAACTCAAAAATCACTGGACGAATTGATACCAAATTTGGACACAATATACACGTATCAGGGCAATGAGTGACCATCACTCATAAAACACTAAAAAACAGCAGAAGAGACTTAAAAAGCCAAATAAATAAATAAATAATTACAACGCATGTGCAAAACTGTGTGTGTGTGTATATGTATATATATACACACATGCAAACACACATATACACAAATATATACACACAAAGCACATATACACAGACTGGGTCACAGCAACATGTTGCAGGGACAGCTAGTAGTAGTAGTAGTAGTAGTAATAATAATAATAATAACAATAATAATGATGATGCTGATAATAATATATTTTTCCCTATCTCTCCTTATGGCCCCTTTCCTCTCTCTTCAAAGGAGTTCCAGGAGCTGTGGCCTCATCTCTCACTGGTGGTGGATGGGGGCCCCCTCGGGGACCCCCACAGCCCAGAGAGCCGCCTGGGCTCCACGGTGGTCGATCTCTCCATCCCGGGCAAATTCAAAGTCATCCGGCCAGGATGGTAGGTGTGATGAGAAAATGCAGGGGGGCACTCTGTGACCCCAGAGCATCTGTATGTGGGGCTGGTATCCTTGATGGCAGGGGGGCAGCTGTGTTAATCCCCCCGTCCGCCTGTAGCAACAGTGCTTGGCTCCCCCTGCAGGCCTTTGACGCCACCTGATGAGGAAGTGCTCTGCCTTGAGACCAAGGCAAGGCAAGGGGGCTTCTCTTCCCCACTTCATCTCTTCTTCTCTTTTTCCGCAGTGCACTTTCACAGACTCTGGAGATCTTGGTGGTCAAGTACGGCCTGACGCTGGAACCGCCTGGCTCCTAAAATCATCTCTCTGGTTTGGGCTGGTGTTGTTGTTCTCAGCAGCTGTTGTTTTAGGAAGGACTCTGCAGAACCTCCCTCCTTTGGTGCAGAAGACCCTCTTCTCCTGCCTTGCTCTTCCCTGCTCAAATGGCTCTCACTCTCTGGCTCACTTGACCATTTACTGCGAAGGAGCAGCTTTTTGCTTCCTTGGAGCAGCTGACTCTTGTGTGTGGAAGGCAGACAGATCCTGCAAGGAAGCACTGGGACGTGTGGGTCTGCGAACATTGGGGTAGCATTAATCCTGGAGTAAATGGGGAGCTGCTCTACGATGGTGGGGCATCCAATGGCCTTTGAACTTGTGAGGCCTCTGTGGAAACCCAAAGACATGGGGCATCATTGGGACCAATCTCAGTAAACAGAAACTTTCTGCAGACTGCTGCGTGTGCTACTGCTGGCTCCATCCTTCCTTTTACCGAGAGGGGGTGGGGAGGGTGGACATTGCTGCAAATGTGTCTGTTGAAGACCTGTATGTGGAAGGAGGCCTGTGCAAGAGAAGGGGGCCAGGAAAGTAACAGGCGGGAGGGTTGTGTACAAGGTTGAGAATTCAAAACAATCTAACAGATTAGAGAGATGGGCCCAACCTAACAAAATGAAGTTCAGCAGGGACAAATGCAAGATAATCCACTTAGGCAGAACAACTGAAATGCCAAGATACAGAATAGGAGATGCCTGATTCTACAGCAGTACAGGTAAACAAGATCTTGGAGTCCTCGTGGGGAGGAAGGTGAACATGAGCCAACAATGTGATGCGGCGGCAAAGAAACCCAATTGAATTTTGGCCTGCATAAATAGTTGTATACTATCTAGATCCAGGGAAGTCATGCTACCCAACTATTCTGCCTTGCTCAGATCACACCTGGAATCACACTGTGTCCAATTCTGGGCACTGTAATTGAAGGGAGATGTTGACAATTTGGAATGTGTCCAGAGGAAGGCGACTAAAATGATTAAGGGTCTGGAAAACAAGCCCTATGAGGAGTGGCTTAAAGAGCTGAGCTTCTTTAGCTTGCAGAACAGAAGGCTGAGAGGAGACATGATGAAGGCCATGTATAAATATGTGAAGGGAAGTCATAGGAGGGACCAGGTTTGTTTTCTGCTGCCCTGGAAACTAGGACACGGAACAATGGCTTCAAACTACAGGAAAGGAGACTCCACCTGAACATTAGGAAGAACTTCCTAATGGAGAGAGCTGTTCAGTGGAACTCTGCCCTGGAGTGTGATGGAGGCTCCTTCATTGGAGGCTTTGAAACAGGCTGGATGGCCATCTGTCAGGGGGGCTTTAAATGCAATTTTCCTGCTTCTTGGCAGGGAGTTGGACTGGATGGTCCATGAGGTTTCTTCCATGATTCTAGGTGATGAGCACTAGGGTCCCTGAGCCCCCCCTCCCCAGGAGGGAGAGACAGACAGACAGACAGAAAGAAAGAAAGAAAAGAAAAGAAAAAAGAAGGGCTGGCCAGGAGTTACTGGTGCCAGGCTCTTGCCCTCTGCCTGGGCCTTGCTGCCAAAGGCCTGTCTTGTTTGGAGTGTTAAGCTCAATCTATGAGTGATGGGAGTTCTCTAAATATCCTAGTGATCTGTTAGTACCGGATTCGAACAGAAATCACAGGCAAGGACGGCAGAAGTTTCTTTCCACATTCAAGAAGTCTTTTATCTTCCAACAATGCATACATGCAAAGCTTTGTATAAAACCAAGTCCTCTCACTTTCTCCCCTCAGCAATCTTCACAGCAGTTCTCTCACGTAGATCTCTCTTATTTTGGAAAACCAGAATCTCCCTGGTTTTCCAACCATTTTAAAAATAACCTTTTGTAAAATTATGATCTTCCAGAGAAGAACAAAAAAAATGTATCATTTGAGTAAAATCTTCTCTTGTGTGGGATATAACCACATGTACTTATGCAAAGCATTTTGGTTGTTAGGCTGATAACCTGGTTTTCTTTTATCTGTTAGGAACAGAAGCAACGCCAATGCATAAAATATAGCCATTCTTCAGAAGTATTTTTTTCAGTGCCTAAAAACATCTACTCTCCCATAAAACATCTTGTTTCGATATCATTCTCTGAAGAGACAAAAATGAAGTGGACTTTGTTAAAAGTAACATTTGGTTTACTCACAACCTTCATGTATTCAGTATATAGGTACATAACTTGTCAAGTTATAGATAGGTTTGAAGTAGTTACTCTGTGCAGATAACACAGGGCATCTTTCTTACAATCAACAACATGAGTTGTCTCTTAACAGTCCAAAGTCAAGCAGGTAAGAGGTAGTCTTAACAGTCTGAGAGTGTAATGGAGTCTGAGGTCTGAGCAGTCTCAGAGCTGATCATGTGGTCCCACAACCTCAAGAAACAGAGTAAAGGGAAAGCGGCATACCAAAACATACATATACAACACAGTAAGCAAATGGAATCCTATACAAATTACTAGTGGAGGCTTAAAGAAGGTTATTTCCAACGTCTTTGTAACATTCAGCAACACCAGCATAAACACTCATCCACAGTCATCATGCTAGCTGCCCCACTGTTATCCTAGATCTGGCCAATCACATATTGTATTGCATCATAAATGGTGTCCCAACAGTGCACCGTGGTTGCACCAGACATTAGGCATTGCACACTGGTTTCATCATCCTCGGAAACTTGTCATTCTGACTCTGCAGTTAGCTCCTGAGGGTTTTGTGTGTGTGTGTTTGTGTGTGTGTCAGGAGTGAATAGAGAAACTGCAAGTCGCTTCTGGTGTGAGAGAATTGGCCGTCTGCAAGGACATTGCCCAGGGGATGTCCGAATGTTTGATGCTTTACCATCCTTGTGGAAGGCTTCTCTCATGTCCCGCATGGGGAGCTGGAGCTGACAGAGGGAGCCCAACCTGCTCTCCCCAGATTCGAACCTCTGACCTATTGGTCAGCAGTCCTGCCAGTACAAGGGTTTAACCCATTGCGTCACCTGAGCTCTTTCTTTCTGAATATGATGACATAGGGTTGCTGTGAGCTTTCCAGGCTGTATGGCCATGTTCCAGATGCATTCTCTCCTAACGTTTCACCCACATCTACGGCAGACATCCTCAGAGGTCGTGATGTCAGTTGGAAACTAGACAAGCGAGATTTATAGATCTGTGGAATGCCCAGGGTGGGAGAAAGAACTCTTGTCTGCTTGAGGCAAGTGTGAATTTTATTGCCATTGGCCACCTTGATTAGCATTGAATGGCCTTGCAGTTTCAAAGCCTGGCTGGTTGCCGCCTGGGGATCCTTTGTTGGGAGGTGTTAGCTGGCCCTGATTGATTCTTATCTGGAATTCCTCTGTTTTTTTTTAGTGTTGCTCTTCATTTACTGTCCTGATTTTAGAGTTTTTTAAATACTGGTAGCCAGACTTTGTTTATTTTCATGGTTTCCTCCTTTCTGTTGAAATTGTCCACATGCTTGTGAATTTCAACTCAAAATACATATTAATTTTATTTATTTGTTTGCGACATTTATATGCCACCCTTCTCACCCCGAAGGGGACTCAGAGCGGCTTACACATTATTTGTACATATAATATATTATATTATTAGCATAGCACATTATTAGTATTATGTATTTCCATATTGTACTATACAACTACATTGTAATATCATTAGTAATATTACATGTAGTATAGATATGTAATTATTAAATTTTATTATTAGTATTATATTGTATTATATTATAATATTATTATCAATATTATATGTGTATACAATATATGAGCACAGCACAATATTAGTATTATAGATTACTATATTGTACTATACCACTATACTGTAAAATTATTAGTAATATTACCTGTAATATAAATATATAATTATTATATTGCATTATTATTAGTATATTGCATTACATTATTATATTATCAATATTATATGTGTATAATATACTTTATTTTCATTTCAAATCCTGACCTGTCTTCCCAGTGGGACTCTGCAGATGCCCAGCTAGGCCCAGGTAAGGGCAGGGCAGGGGATGCTTAGAAGTGCACTATCTGGCTTCCTCAGGCCTGCCTTTCCATTGGACTTGAAGGCTCTTTCCACAAATGGAACAACGCTGACATTCTCACTTGTCTTCTCACATTTGCAGCCTAGGATGCTCCATGAAATGGGATTGGGTGATTTTTATTTTTTTGCAAAGTTGTTCAAATCTGGTTCAGGAAGCTGCAGGGAGAGACAAGAGAATACAGCTTTCCTGCCCTTTGCCTGAATGGAAGAACAATGTTGGATCCAAGCTTTTGAAGTTCAAGCAATGTGGATTCATTATGAGCCTGGCCACAGAGGGAAGGGAGTCCCCGCCTGCAGATGCCTGTGACGTCACTCCAGGGCAAGCCACGCCCATCGGAGGAGGCGGGAGGGCGGTGGGACTCCATTTCCCGTCAGGCCCCGGGGCGGCTAGAGGAAGGGAAGAAGGCGGAAGGCAGGTGAGTTAGTCAAGGGAGCCTATCTAGGCACGTTATTTGCTTTGAAATTGATTATAAGGCAATGTAGCCCAGGTATGGGTAAACTTGGGCCCTCCAGGTGTTTTGGACTTCAACTCCCACCATTCCTAAAAGCCTCAGGCCCCTTCCTTTCCCCCCTCAGCTCTTCAAGTGTTTTGGACTCCAACTCCCACCATTCCCAACAGCCTCAGGCCCCTTCCTTTCCCCCCTCAGCTCTTCAAGTGTTTTGGACTTCAACTCCCGCCATTCCTAACAGCCTCAGGTCCTTTCCTTAAGTGGCTGAGGGGGAAAGGGGCCTGAGGCTGTTAGGAATGGTGGGAGTTGGAGTCCAAAACACCAAGGGCCCAAGTTTACCCATACCTGGTCTACACTGCCTTATAATCCAATTTAAAGCAAATAATTGGATTTTATATGGCAGTGTAGAAGGGGCCTCTGCTGTACTTTTCCAATAAAGATGTAATAAAAATTGAAATATTGTCTATTTCTGCTTCAAAAGTGGTATTTCCTGTTTCATTATGCGATCATTATTTTCAAATGAGTTCTACTCCAGAAACATCATTTTTGTGGCTGCCAGGACTTTAAGATCGTCCGGGGAGGCCCTGCTCTCCATCCCGCCTGCGTCACAAACACGTTTGGTGGGGACGAGAGACAGGGCCTTCTCAGTGGCCCCTCGGCTATAGAACGCCCTTCCTGGGACATTAGATCGGCCCCCTCTCTCTTAACATTTTGGGAAAGTGTCCAGACTTGGTTGTTTGAGCAAGCATTTGAAAATGCAAGGTAAAAGACATAAGAATTAGAATGACTGGACGACGAGATTGGACAGTGATTTTATTAGGAGACGCAAATAATCTATGTTTTTAATACTCTTGTTATGGTTTTATATTATGTATTAATGTTTTTAAATGTTTTATGGTGTTTTGTGCATTGAATTGTTGCCACTGTAAACCTCCCTGAGTCGCCTGAGGGTTGAGAAGGGCGGTATACAAATACAGCAAATAAATAAATAAATAGGTTGAAATTGGTTGAGACTCTTATGATGAGATAGTCACTGAAAAACTGAAAATTGTGTTACATAGTGTCCTAATTTGGTTTACAGTAGAGTCTCGCTTATCCAATCTTCGCTTATCCAACATTCTGTATTATCCAACGCAGTCTGCCTCCCGCCCGGAATAATGTCCAGGGTGGGAGAAAAAAAGAACCCTTGTCTGTTTGGGTACTAAATTTGTAAATACAGTAATTACTGCATAATGTTACTCTGTATTGAACTGCTTTTTCTGTTGATTTGTTGTAAAACATGATGTTTTGGTGCATCATTTGTAAAATCATAATGTAATTTGACATTTAATAGGCTTTTCCTTAATCCCTCCTTATTATCCAACATTTTCGCTTATCCAACGTTTTGCCAGCCCATTTATGTTGGATAAGCAAGACTCTACTATATTATCTGTCTCTCCTTTTAATCCAAGGCGGGGCACAACACAGGCAGATCTATCAAATCCCATATTGAAACATAGTTAAAATGCAGCCACAAAAGCATATATTAAAACATAAAAGGTAAAGGTTTCCCCTTGACATTAAATCTAGTCGAGTCCAACTCTGGAGCATGGTGCTTATCTTCATTTCTAAGCTGAAGAGCTGGCGTTGTCTGTAGACATCTCCTAGGTCATGTGGCCAGCATGACGGCATGGAGTGCCGTTACCTTCCTGCTGAAGTGGTACTTACTGATCTGCTTATATTTGCATGTTTTCGAACAGCTAGTTTGGCAGAAACTGGGGCTAACAGCGGGAGCTTACCCCACTCTCCAGGTTCGAACAACCAACCTTTTGGTTTGCAAGTTCAGCAGCACAGCTGTTTAACCCCCAGCACCACCAGGGGGGTACTATTACAGTTATTGTTGTTGTTGTTGTTGTTGACAAGGTAGGACTTCTTTGTCTTTCTCTAAAGCACTAGACTGTTAGTTCAAGGTGAGGGATAGTGTAGGGCCCAGAAAGAAAGGAATAAAAGCCAAACAATGCCCTGCTCCCTGCCCATATTCAGGGAACTGTAGGCATCTAGCCCACCTCCAAGGCCTTCAGGTTAATGTACTTGAGATAACAGTCATGCAGGTTGAAATAGTGGGCATATTCTTCTTCATCAGTAAACTCTACAAGGTCTGTCTGATCAGCAAGTTCTGCAGCTTAGCAGGTTAACCCGCTGCGCCACCGCAGACCCTATATTAAAACATACATGTATTCAAAGGTACAAGGCAAACGTTAAAACAAAAGTAAACACATATGTTTTAAAAGTCACAGTTCATTCCTCTGTCATCTTCATTCCCTTTCCTTCCCCAGGATGCCCTGTGAGGCCCTGCGCTCTGCCCTGCGGAAGGCCTTCCGAAGGGTCCGGGAGCAGCATAGGGCCTGGGAGGGGGCCCTAGCAGCTGTGGCCCCGCTCCTGGCTTCCCTGGGCAGTCTGGCGGAGCAGGCGCAGGCCCTGCAAGTGGCAAACCTGGACCAGAGCCCCTTGCACTCTTTCCCCGGACTCCAGGGGCGACTACAGGCCAAGCACCGAGCAGCTGCAGAGGCCTTGCTGGGACAGCTCCACCAGAAAATTCTGTAAGGAGTGTGTGTGGGAGGGACATGTTGCTTGGATTGGGCATCACTTGCCCTCTATCATAGAGTTGGAAGAGACCTCATGGGCCACCCAGTCCAACCCTCTGTCAAGAAGCAGGTCCATCCATGGTGGTGGTGGTGGTAGTGGTGGGCACTGCAGGGGAGGGTTTTTTCCAGCTGCATCCCTAATAAGATGCAGTTTGAAGGTTTCATGGACATTGACTAGTTGTTTATACAGACAGACCCCAAGTTACAAACATTTGACTTGCATCAGACTTCTCGTTGAGAATGGTGTGGTGACAATGGAGGAAGTGATAGGAATCTGCCCCTCAGAAGGGAAGTTCACTCCTGGAAGAGTTATGATCATGGGAAAAAGGTGTCTTGGCTAAAGCTTTATCCCCAGTCCTTGTTTCCACGGCCAAATTTTCCAAAATACAATTCTCACAGGGATAGAAAGTGTGGTGAAATCTTCTGAACAGGGGCACAGACATCAAAACAAACATCACATTCACCCTTCCCTGTACTATCCAAAGCTTATATATACATGTGTATGTTTGTATTCTAAGTGTGTGTGTGTGTGTGTGTGTATATATGCTTAGAAAATGTTCCTGTTCTAACTTACATATGAATTCAGCTTAACAACAAACCTACAGAACCTCTCTTGTTTGTAACTTGGGAACTTCCTGTATAAGATTAATAAAACATTTGTGTGTATTGCAGAGCAGTTTCAGCCCCAATCTTCAGGAACCCCACATTTTAAAAACATTTGGGGTCGAAAAGTGAGGCTGCAGGGGCTACAGGTTGGACATTTTCCTCAGTGTTCTCTGCTTCCACTGGTAGTTGCTTGTTGTTTGGTTGTGATCCACAATAGCGCCATTTAACAAGCACTGAACCTCCTCAATTATTTCTAACGCACTCCTTAATGGGGAGGGAGGCTGTTTTATGGTCCCGTTTCATGGCTGGGTCCCCAATGAATGACTGCAGTGGCGAATTAGAGGGAAGCCTAGCCCACCCTCTAATTCAACAACATGTGGCTGTTGGAAAATGCTGGTCCAAGGCCTTTCCCCTTCTGCCTTTAGACCTGAAGCCTTTGCAGCAACATGGGGCTACAGGGTGGCCACTGATCCCTCGAGCAGTAAGGGAGGGAGGGGCCAAGGCAATCAGTGTGTCTCTGTTACTCTCTGCAAGTGACACTGTCCTCCTCCTCCTTCCAGCCCTGAGCTGCAGAAGACCAGGGATGCCATAGGTGTCCAGGTGGCTGGCATCCTCCTGCTCTGTGAGGGACCAAAGGCTGAGCTGGGCCTGGAGAGCTCCTTCCAGCGCTGGCCACTCTACCCCTCACTGGCTGACATGGTGGAGTGGCTGCTGGACATTGAGAGGCTCTACCACCAAATGTATCCTTTGCCAGTGTGCTGCTGCATCCCCAATGTTCTCTGCCATCACCAGCCCAGATCATTCCACAAATCCTCAAGACTTCCAAAGACATCCAGGTTAAACTGTGTTTTCTTTATAAGTGTTAGCTTTCAATGCATTGCAACCTTTGTTTTGTTTACTGGGATTACAATCAAAGCTAGTTCTGGGAAGTTATTATGTAAACTAAATAGCTGGATTTGATAAATGCAGGCCCTGCAACTCCACTCCCCATTCCCTGCCCTGCTTTTAGCAGTTCTGGCCCCCAAATACAGCTTTTCCGGCCACTACATCATGCATTTAAGAGACAGCGCAGCAATTCTCCATCCCAACCACAAAAGAACTGCTTGGTTTTACCACTGCTGCTCCCTGCCTGGAATATGTTCAGGGTGGCATTAGGCAGTGGATGTATACAGTCCATTGTTTATTCTTAATGACCAGAAGATACCTGGAGGCCAAGCTGCTCCTCCTGCAGGTCAGGTACGAGAACCTGACTGGGATGCAAGCCCTTCCTAAGGCCTGGGAGCAGGTTGTGCAGCACAGCCAGCAGCAACAAGGCACAGTGGAGGGTAAGTGGAGGTGGCGGGTGGGCCGACACACAAGCAGTATTTTTGTGGGAGGCTGAGGAATGTTGGAGGCAGAGCTGAGATTAAGGCCCTTCTCCTGTGACCTGAGCTAGCCTGACTTCCTTGCTATCGTGGCCACCAAGAGCATCCCTCCTGGACTTGCCTTAAGTAGCAGGGCTTCCTTGGGATGGGCATTGGCCAGGGGAACCATGGGTGCTGTGCAGCGCAACTGGGGAACACTCTTCTGCTTTTCATCCTCCACAGATGCCTTGCTGAAGGTCTCTTTCTTTTTGAAAGAAGCTGCCTGAGGGAGGAAGATCTCCTGGTGCCAAGAGCTCCCTCCGACATCCCTGCAGGTGGAAAGTCTCTACTTGGTGCAGGCAAGGACCAGAAGCTGGTTCTTCTTTGCGCTGGAGGGCAAAGAGCATTCCAAACAGAGTGGCTGGATTATTACTATTATTATTGCTCTTTGCATTAATAACCATCCCGTCTGGGGAAATCTCCACCTGGTTTTTGTGGCCTCTGAGCATAGAAGCCTCTGTCTGAGCATAGTACCTCTGTCTGAAGGAGGAAGAGGAGGAGGTTGGTGCCAGGGATCAGCGGCAGAGGGAAGCTGGTCTTTCTGGTAAGAGTCCAGCTGCGAGGTCTCTTTCCTCATCTTTGGCCTTGAATTGCATTCTCACCTTTCAACGTCATTGTTCATTTGCTGCATCTACACAATAAAGACGGAAATGGTTTTGTACAGCTGCTGTCTGTCGGGCTGGCGTGTCCTTGATCTGCACATGGTGCTGCAAGGGGCCTTCCTCTGATGAATGAATGCGCTTTGGTTGTGTTTCAGACACACTGAGCCTCTTCTTCCTCCAGGACACAAAATGGGATGCACTTTGCCCTCAAATCTCTGTCCTTTTCTGGGGTTCATGGAGCAGTTCAGGGGAAAACATGAACAGGAGATCAACGAAGAAGGCGGCTGTGGGGCGATGTGATAGTCGTTCTAAAATACCAGAAGGGATGTTGTGTATAAGATGGAGTAAGATGCTCTTCTGAGACTGGGACCAGGCTAGGGGATTGGAATGGCAAGAAATGAGACTCCTAGTAACCACTAGGAGGAGCCTATAGACTGTAAGGCAATGGTTCTCAACCTTCCTAACCCACAACCCCTTAATAAAGTTCCTCATGTTGTGGTGACCCCCAACCATAAAATTATTTTCGTTGCTATTTCATAGCTGTAATTTCGCTACTGTTATGAATTGTCATGTAAATATCTGATATGCAGGATTTGGCACCAATATCCGATATGCCCATATTTGAATACTGGTGGGGTTTGATTTTGTCATTTGGGAATTGTAGCTGCTGGGATTTATAGTTCACCTACAATCAAAGACCATTCTGAACTCCGTCAACGATAGAATTGAATCAATATTGGCACACAGAACTCCCATGACCAACAGAAAATACTGGAAGGGTTTGGTGGGCATTGACCTTGAATTTTAGAGTTGTAGTTCACCTATATCCAGAGAGCACTGTGGACTTGAACAATGATGTGTCTGGACCAAATTTGGCACAATTACTCAATATGCCCAAATGTGAACACTGGTGGAGTTTGGGGAAAATAGACCTTGACATTTGGGAGTTTAATTTGCTTGAATTTGTAGTTCACCTACAATCGCAGAAGGAGGAAAGCTTTTGGTGGGAGGATTCTCTGTTTCCAAAAAGGAAGAGAAGGACAAGCAGAGAGATCTTCAGCCTTCTCTGCCAAAGGGGTTCCCAAGACCATCAGATATATGTGTCTTCTGATAGCCTTTGGTTACCCCTCTGAAACCCTCTCGTGATCCTCTAGGTTGAGAAACACTCCTATAAGGGCTGCTTGAGAGTGGAATGGGTTTTGTTGAGTGAACGTGGAGGTCTTTGTAGATAGTCAGTGCTTGAGTTGAGTGGTCTTGGGGACCACTGCCTTTCTTACTGGCCCTGGGATGGCTAAGGATTGTAATCCGTGGCTCCCTGCCTGGCCCAGCTCTTTGCAAATGGGGGAGACTGAGGCCACAACTTCCTGGGCCACAACCTCTCCTGGGAAATCGCTGTCTCCCAAGTTCTGTGCTATCCTTGGCTGCAGCTGCATGGATAGTCCTTCCTGTCCTTCCCTCCATCCCAGGAAGAGGCACATGTGCCCTCTTGTTGGAGGCCCAATGGCAGAGAAGGAAGATCTCATGGAAGCCCACCTGGGTTGTAATTAAACTTTAATCACTTCAAATGTTTTGCTTCATAAAGGAAACATGTTAACCATGGCGGCCTGGAGATGCCAAAGAGAAAGAAGGAGGTGATGCTGTGCCAGCCCTTTCGATCAGCCCAGTTGCCAGTCTGCAAAAAGGTGGAGTGGCCCTGCTCTACATCCAGCATCTTTTCCAGGTTGTCTGCCCTTTGGACCCAGAAAATCAAGAGAGAGGAAGGGAGCAACCAGAGCACTGCATTTTGGGAAAAGCCCGGCAAAGACAAGGGCAGCTTCTGTCTTGGCGGAGAGGCAGGTGTTGTGGATCCAGGCAGAACAGATTTGTTTCTTTCACACCCCAAATCATGGAGTCTCAAGGCAGCACAATAGAAAAACAGTCCAACCACTTTATCACATTCTTTAAATACTGAGCCACCCACGTAAGAAATGGCAATCTACTGTGTTCATCACATGATGTAGGCTTCAAGTGTAAGAGAGATCATGGGGTTAAAAAAGTGTTGCAAAAGGTTATCTTTTCGGAAACTGTCTGGATGGTTGGCAAGTGACTTTTTTTGCACATTATCTAGATCAGAGGTCCTCAAACTTTTTAAGTGGGGGATCCGTTCACGGTTACTCAGACTTTTGGGGAGTGAACTATGGTTTGGAAAAAAAATGATCTGATTCCTATAAACACTGCACATATATGTAATGCAAAAAAAGGAAAAAAAGAAGACAAAACAATATTTTAAATGAAGAATAATTTTCACCAGCATAAACTTACCCATCTTTCAATGGGAAGTGTGGGCCTAGTTTTGAATGATGAAATAGTCAAGTTAATTAGGATTATTGTTGTGTGCCTTTAATTAATTTCAGACAGGGCAAACCTAAGTCTAAAGTTTAAGGCAGGGGTCAGGTAAATGACCTTGGAGGGCCACATGCAGCCCACGGGCCTTAGTTTGAGGACCCCTGATCTAGATAGAGGTTTGGTCAAAATCGTGAATTCTGTCATGTGATGGTATTCGTCATGCTCAGCTTTTAAATGATACCGTTAGGCAATTTGTGGGAGGAGCTCAAATGCCCCTTTGAGAAAAAGCTTCACCATTACCTTTTGCTCATGGGCGAGGGAAGATCAGCAATATGTTGTATTCCTTTTTGGGGGCTGGCCCTCCCTCCCGTGTATTGTATGTGCCATGTGTTACCTCCTCATCCTCTCAAAAACACACAGAGCAAAGAACAAAAACACACAGACCAATGTTATCTCTTCCATAGGAGGCTTTTCTTTCTAGCAAAACAATATGGTTGCACTATGTACAAGAACAAGGTTTCCATAACACAAATAAAGTTCTATACACTTCCTTCTTTGCTTCCACACTGGGCTTCTTTCTCATGTAGATAAACAGCTTCGCTCTCACAGAGCCTCTTCTTACACTGAAGTTACATAGGAGCTTCACAAACAAGCTTTTTACATAACATACAGCAGCCTTCACACATTGAAGCATCACACACACCAGGTCTACTCACACCAAGGTCTACTAATAGTGAAGCCTTCCTCCCATTGAGGTGAACTAACACTGAGGCCTACTAACACTGAGGCTCTTCTCCCACAGAGATGTCTCACAGACTGAGAGCTACTAAGCTACAGGCACACCTGCTTATATTGAGCTGCAGCTTTTGCTGAGTCATTGCATCCATTTAATCCTTTCAGTGCTTGACGCACATTTACGTAGTTAAAAATACCTAGTTATTTTTTAAATATTTCTGACAATCTCCACTGAAGTAAAGCAGGGCAAGTCAGCTGCGGGGAGCAAAGGTGGGAATACAGGAATGGCTCTTTCCTTCCCAAATCAGGCGGAGGCAGAATCCCAGCTGCCCCTTGCAAAATGGGACTTCCTTCCACCTCTGGACATCCAGTCAGATTGCCCAATCCTGCTTCATCAACAGATTGATGAAGAACAACATGCTCTAGAAGGCTAATCCATAGATTCCAGCTTTTTCCTCACTTGTTACTGCTTACTCCCCCCTTACTTGTCAGGGGGTAAAAAGGTAAAGGTAAAGGTTTCCCCCTGACATGAAGCCCAGTCGTGTCCAACTCGGGTGTGGTGCTCATCTCCATTTCTAAGGCGAAGAACCAGCGTTGACTGTAGACACAAGGTCATGTGGCCGGCATGACTGCATGGAGCACCGTTACCTTTCTGCCAAAGTTACCAAATGAGAGACTCCCCCCTGGGCACACAGAGGACTGGGTGACTTGGAAGGCACTGAACAGACTGCGCTCTGGCACCACAAGATACAGAGCCAACCTTCAGAAATGGGGCTACAAAGTGGAATCCTCGACATGCGGATGTGGAGAGGAGCAAACCACTGACCACCTGCTGCAATGCACCCTGGCCACATGCACAATGGAGGACCTTCTTGCAGCAACACCAGAAGCACTCCAAGTGGCCAGATACTGGTCAAAGGACATTTAATCAACTACCAAACTCACAAATTTTGTATTTTGTCTGTTTGTTTGCTTTGTTCTGTTAGAAATGTAATATAATTTGACTGGTTGCCCTGACACGACAAATAAATAAATAAATGCTTGTATGTCAAGCTGCTTTTTCGAACTGCTAGGTTGGCAGAAGCTGGGGCTGACAGCGGAAGCTCACGCCGCTCCCCGGATTCAAACCTGTGACCTTTTGGTCAACAAGCTCAGCAGCTCAGTGCTTTAACCCACTGCGCCACTGGTGCAGGGGATGTCAAGAAAAAAAGCTTGGAACCATGTCTCCCTTCTCCTCCGCTCTCCTTCTTAGTGCTAGGACTTGTCCTGGTCCACAAGGACGAGTGACGGGGCCTGGCCCAATGCTGACCCTGTGGGGCTGAGGACCAGTGACCTGCTCTCTCCAGGAAGGAGGAAGGGGAAGGCTCTGATCCTGGCTCCCCTCTTTGGCTTCTTTTGGCACAGGCAGTGCCTCTGGCCTGTTCTTGACAACAGTTTATTATTTATGAGGTGATGAGCTCATGAGCAGTTCACAAACACAGCCAAGTGGAAGGCTTTTTCTCAGCTGATTTATCATGGATGTCCAAAGTGAAAGATATCTGGGATATAAGGTTTGGACAGCTTTATGGAGAGCAGCTATATGCTCCTGCTTTGCTGATACTCTTTTTCTCTCCAGCCTCAGCCAAGTCCCCCAACTGGCTCCAGGAGGCTCTTTGTACCATTCAGCACCAATCCAGTGGGTGTGCCCCAGTTGGACCTGAGCAGTGTAGACCCTTAGGCGGTCCAAAGTGAGGAGGGGAGGTATCCTTCGCAAATCCCTTTATTGCATTTGGAGAGGCTCCTTTGGATAAGAAGAGCCACACAAGGCCATCAGAGGGGTCACCCAGAAAGTTGTCAGGGAGGGGAGTTCATCCAGACCAGAAGTACTTCCATCCCTCCCTTTTGAAACCATGTGGTCTGCATTAAGGTTGCAATGTTTTGTTCCGGGGAGGCAAGACACCCCCCCTGTTCCAGAACCACATACTCATATGTATCCCCTCAAATTAATTTGGAAGATTCAAAATGTATAAATAATCTTGTAATTTCAGGGCACGGAGAGGAGAGTTGTCGTATGAGCAGAAGACAAACCAGCTCCTCATTTACATGCTTAACCCGTTCCATATTTTCCTGGAAAGGACTCAAAGGGATGTCTCCAAAAGATCTGCCGTTGCACTGTTGCAGCCTCTCCCTTTGTCAGAGTGGCTTTTCTCTCAAACCCCCTTCTTCTTTCGGGGGAAGATGGCTGTGGGGCCACATGGTGGGGTCTTTTGGTGTCTGCCCCAAGGCTGAGCTGGCAAAGGCCTTTCTGTTCAGGCAAAGAGATGGCATCCTAGAAGCCCTTCCTTTCCTTCCTTGTCCTTGAAACAAACCTAAATAGTTGCCAGGCAGTGCCTTCAAAACCCAGGGACAAGGGGACCAAGCTTTGCCCATCCATCTCAGGGATTTCTGCTGTGCTTCTTACCATTTCATCACATTTATTAAATTCCACTGAGTGCTACACTTAAAATCTGAGAAGCCACTCTTGTCATCACATTGGTTTGGCTTTAAGTGTAGGATAGAGCATTCTTTGCGTATTTTAAGCACGAGAGCCAGCATTCTTTTAAAATATTTCATGAGGTGGTGTGAAAGTGGATTTTTTAAAATCATCTGGATGCGCCCCTACCTCATGAAGTCCGACTTGGCTATGGTGGCCCATGCCCTAGTTACCTCCAGATTGGATTACTGCAATGCACTCTACATGGGGCTGCCCTTGAAGACCTCCCGGAAATTGCAACTGGTGCAACTGATCAGCAGCCAGATTAATACTGGAGCAAGCTACAGGGAGCGATCAATCCCCCGATTAAAACAGCTCCACTGGCTGCCAATGAGTTTCTGATCCCAATTAAAGGTGCAGGTGATTCCCTACAAAGCCCCAAACAGTTCAGGACCTGCCTATCTTCATGATTGCATCTCCCCCTATGAACCAACACAAGCCCTAAGATCATCTGGGGAGGCCTTCCTCTCATTTCCACCTCCGTCTCAGGCGTGGTTGGTGGGGATGAGGGAGAGGGCCTTCTCGGTGGTGGCCCCTCGGCTCTGGAACTCTCTTCCTAGGGAGATCAGATTGTCACCTACCCTGTCCTTCCACAAGAACCTAAAAACATGGATGTTCCGTTGTCCCTTTGATTAGGCAGTTCCAAAGAATTGGCCCAATTTTACCTAAGTTTCAGCACTTTAGCATGGCCCTCCGCTCTACAATCCTGGCATTATAAAGCCCAAGGACACTATTCTCCCATCCCTACCACTGAATTTTGCACTTTCCCTTAGCTCCATCTAGGAATTTTGCACAAACTCAGAGCCTTCTGAACTCAGCACTTTTATTGCTCCCATGATATTGTTTTCATGATGTTATGTTTTATTATGATTTTTTTTTGGTTTTGTTTTGTTTTTATTACGTTTTAGCTCTGTGCTCTCTGGGCTTGTCCCTTTGTAAGCCGTCCCAAGTCCCTTCAGGGAGATGGAGGCAGGGTATTAAAATAAAGTAGGTATTATTATTATTATTATTATTATTATTATTATTATTATTATGTTTGGCCATTCCTGTAATGTGATGGCATTAGTTGCGTGCAGGTTTACAATGAAACATTTCCCCAATTTGTGGAAAGGAAAATTGTGGGAGGAACCAAAAGGACCATTGTTATGGAAAGCATTACCTTTGGCTCATTGAGTTTTGCCAGAACATTTTCTTTTTAAAAAATAGCCTTTCCGGGCCCTTTCCGGGGGGGGGGGGGGGGGCTTGAGGGGCTTCCGCCCCCCCCCCCCAATTCTCATGGTGGTTCGCGAAAAGGCCTTACTGGTGCATTATTTAAACTGTTATGTTTATTCATATCATGATCTGATCACCATACTCAATATATCCCATATGCATGGGGGTATTGGGGTAATGATATAAAAGGTTTGCTAGGCTAGACCCTCTTTCACTCAGACTCAGCCCCCCCCCCCCCCCCCCCCCCCCCGAAAAAAATCACACACACACACACACACACACACACACACCCCGAAACGAAATCCTGGCTACGGGCCTTTTCTGGGTCCTTCCCTTCCTTCCGTGATAGGTCTGAGACTTGTGTTGCATGGGAAAGCCAGGAGAGAAGGGTTGTTGTTGTTGTTGTTGTTGTTATGCCATGTCTACATGCTGTGCAGTCCTGGGAGTTATAGTTTCCAAGGTCCATACCCTTCTCTTGGTGCATTTACACTATGGAATGAATGCTTTTGGACCCCATTTTAAATATCATAGCTCCATACTATGTGGTCCTGGGAATTATAGTTTCCCAAGGTCCAAACCCTTCCCTTGATGCATTTACACCATGGAATGAATGCTTTTGGACCCCACTTTAAATAACACAGCTCCACACTATGTCGTCCTGGGAATTATTGTTTTCCTAGACCCACATCTTTCTCTGTCGGGCAGCCAAGAGAGAGGGGGGAGGGAGGATGGTTGCAGGGCCACATCTCTGCAGCGTGAAAGAACACTGAAAGGAAACGAGACATTTAACAGTGTGATAGAAGGTAGGTAACATATCTGTTTCATTAAAAACTGAGTAAGACTGAGCTCTTCTCTGCATACCTCTGCCACATACTTCCCTGCCTAATGTGATGAAGAGAAAAAACACCTACTGAACTGTCAGCTTCTTGGCCTGAAGCTCTCTGGAATGGAAGAGAGGGACAGCGTGAGTTTGACCTTCCCCTATCCCCCCCCCTCCCCTTCAGAAGAGACTTCAGGGATCCTGCTGGAAAGAAACAACACAATTATAGGTACATTTGCAACCTATTACCACGGAGCCTTTATGAAACCCTAAC